TGTTTTCTATCGTTCGGTCCTCCCTTCCCTATCGCTTTTATCGCTGTGTCATCTAATAGCGACACGATCGCGATCGTTTAATCGTTATCTCAATCGTACGTAATGAACGTTCGACGATTGCTCTCCTGTGTGTAAATCCGCGCCATGAATTGCGATATGGATGTAATTATGTAATAGTAATCAATGGATATACTTGTCATTTAATGATCGTTCGAATTGACGCGAATAACAATTATATAACTGGGAATACAGGACAGATTTAATCGCGTTGAGAAAATTAGTACAAAATGTATTATGCATTTGTGTATATTATATATCTACAAATGAAATTAGTTAAACGCTGCTACACGATTCTAATCTTTTCTTTCTTTGTCGCGCAACAATCTAGAAATTCTACAATGCGGGGTATATCATTTGATTTGAACGTTGAAAACATCAATCAGATAAAAATTCAGATTAATAGCGTGTACACAATCATTTATCCGTTATATTGCAATTGCGAGGAACGAACGCGGGAAGCGCACACTATCGTGACAAGAGATACAAGTCATTCGAATCGAATCGTTAACGCTTTAGCCAATATTGTGAAATACTTCGCTTTCACGTAATTTCGGAGCAATTGTAGAGCATTTCCACTAGTACATCCTACAGCATCATTAATTTCCTACGACATATATATCTTTTTTTATCGATCCTTAGAAAAATTTCGTGAATTTCGTTTGATACGATGTGATATTTATATACATTTTGAATCTTTATAAATTACGTCAATTTGTCAATATGTATGTATATGCATGCTGTGAAAGGGAAAGAGAATTGAAATTGGAAGAGGGAGAAAGAGATAGAGCGAGAGAGGGAGATATATTAATTTTATCATTTATGAAATACGTGATGTAGTTTTATGTTGCATATTATAACATTATTTCGGAACAGAAGAATGATGTAATGAAATTATTTGATGAAAATAAAATAAAACGGATGCTGCATACAAGTTGTATTATGCAATCAAGTCGTATTGATTATTAACAAAAAATAAAACAGTTAAAAATATGACGTTAATATCGCGTTAAAGTTACATATCGAAAGCACGCGAATTAAATGTGTCCGTCGAAATCAATAATTCTTTCTTTAATTCCGGTATTTCAATTCGAGCAAACTTCAAACAAGTGTAGTGGTAGCATACACTATACGTCTACCGTAGATTGATCGAAAGGAAGTAGAGAAGAACGGGCAAGGGGGATAGGATTTTGCCGTTCTCTTCAAAATTTATTTCGCTATGCAGTTTATAGTAAATTTATTTAGCTTTACGGTTCACACTGAAATTTCTGTGTAACAAATAGTATTATGGATTTTTATGCATTTATGAGAAAGTAAAAATGCACAAAATGCATCTAGTATGCAAGAATGTATAAAATATCCAAAATAGTTATATTGGAATATTATAGCTTTCAATCATATTCATAAAGATATGAAGTTACCTATAGTATGTGATCCACTATATAATAGGTATGTGACACATTTAATGTCTAAACATCTAAAAATATATAATATCAATTTATGCTTAATTTTTAATAAGAAACAGTTTTAATATCAGGTTAATATCGTGAAATATTTGACATAATGTTGCAATAGAATGTAACAAGTGAAAAGGAACAATTAAATCCGAATTGGTGAATTGTACGACATAAATGTTATTTTTAACGGACTGAGGAATATAAAAAATACCGGAGAAAAATATTTTGCAATATTAAAATGTTTTAATTATTTTATCCAGGTATTTAGTCATAAAGGTACTTTTATTAAAACACTCATAAAAATATGTGTGCATATTACGTTTCGCTTTTTCACTAAATTTACGTGGAAGAACATGTATTTTAAATAAAATTTGGTATATTTGATATTTATATTTTTATTTTAATATTAAACTGAATTGGAAACTGAATTTAGTGGTTTATGAATGTTTAAATTAATTTTCATCTAAACACTAGAATATTCACACTGTGTAAAGCGTTTGAAAAATAAACAGGAACTAATGGTATATTTATGTCGGCGATAATGTACGTACATTTGGCAAAATGATAAGAAGGAAACATTGTTTCGTATAATTTGCTCAAGATTACTCAGAATTTTATGATATATTTTATCTCGCGATAGGATAAAACATTCGTTGTTGTCTTTAATTAACTGTCCTCGAGAGTTTTACTTTTGTAATTAAAATTACCTTCATAAATTTAATAAACAAAGTGGTCTCTGGAACGTAGTGGTACTGCAGTCCCTCTAAACTTGTACTATTGAAAGTTGCGCATTATCTTTTGATTTAATGAAGAATCGTTGATGTTACGTTCCTGACTGTCACGTTCTTTTTGTGTTAGTAGTACAGATAGACTGTAGTTACAACAGGTCTGCAGCTTCTACGTTTAGGTAATTTATCGCAATAATTGCGTAAAATGTATTTAAACATCGCCAGAGGAGTTATCAAATTAATTACTTGCGCAGAACTCGTTAGTTCTGAAGCTTTCGTAGTAAGAAAATGCAGACTCCCTCGCGGAAAAATGCTCGCGTATACTTTGTCCTGAAATATCAGTATTGAAATTACAAAAATCAATACCCATTTCATTTCTGCTCGGCACAAAGCTTATAGATAGACATTTTGCTTGCTATGCGTGTATAACATATTGGTTTCCAGGTAATTGAATTAAAATATGTACTGGTTCAAATCAAAATTGTATTAGTTCGGAAAGTAATCGTTGTAATCAATATTAATTGAAGTAACTTTATTCGCAATTTTTCAGCTGCTTTTTGCTATTAATTCGTATGAAAAAAGCAGCTGTATCGTTACTGGTAAAATCATTGCAGCGCACTCACTGTACAGTATCTTTTTAAACGATGAGAAGGTCATGTAAGGTATTGTACTACTTAGACGTCTGACGAAAGTTGTCCTTATCTACTGCGGTTGGATGCACCCGATATAAATACCGCGGACATTACGTTTATGATTAAGTAAAATTTTGTTACGTTACTGTATCACTTCTAAACAAAATTATTGCACGTTTTTTAATAAAATTGAATTGCTATTGAAAATATCACGTGCAAACGAAAAATTCACCTTAAATTTAATTCTGCAACGGTTTAAAGCAAATATCGCGACAATATCGCGTATGTACCGTTGAATTGCCCTGTAGAAGACACGGATATCGCTTTATTTTCGAGATTGAATCGAATTTAGAGGATAGATAATTGTAACGAATCTAATTGGTTTCAACACTCCCTCCCGTTTTTCGATCGCAATTCGGTCGGTAAGGTCACGGTCGTAATGCTCGCCGACATCGTGCGTTGCTATAAGTGCACTTGGCCGGGCGTGTGTGCACGATCTGGCGCGTGCGTAAACACAGAAGAGAACAAACTTTCGAGGCGGCTACAGGGGGTGAGTTACCCCACCGTTGCCGCTGCTGGCCGACAAGCGCGCCGAGCGATCCTCCACCAGCACGTGCAGTCAACTTTAAACGCACATACACACGTTCGCCGCGATGTCCTCAGTTTGAGCCATTGAAACACATTACTTTTTGCTCGCGTTCCGCGCTTCACGCAGCGGGAAGCTCGGATACTTTCCTTCGAGTGTTCGTAAATTTCAAAACTGCGATGATGACAAAAGTAAGTCAATGTTTGAAATGAAGTGACTTGAGAGACTGTTTGAAAATAAGTTTCGAGCTTTGCAATGAGAATCGTCACTCTGTTGGACAATTTCGTTCAGAATATTCAATTCGTTCCGGACAAGTGTATAGAACGAGAGTTTCAAAGTGCGAGAGAAGCTTTTGTTTTTTATTCGATTTCAGTTCAAAATTCCGTATTATTTCTCATCTTTGTAAATGTTTTTTTCTTTTCTTATTCAATTTTATTATCTCGTTTATTATGTAAGAGATGAAAGAAACAATAGGGTTGCCCTACGTAGTGTTGAAACATTTAAATTTGATACGACTACTCGGAGGAGTTTAATATTCATTCTGTCACGCTGTCGACATTTACCGTTTGAGAATTATAATAACAAAGAATGCAGACATCTGTATACGGATAGTTTGAGCACGATCACGGGTGTAAACGTTGATACAGAGACGTTGATGCAGAGTGTAGGTTTATATCGTGGTCAGCGTCGCGGCGCGCGTCATCTTCTATCTCGCTCGGCTCCAGTTCGTCCCTCTTTGTCTCGGAAAAGTTTCCGGTGATGAGCTTTGTTGGCCGTTTCCCCTGCAGGACGGAAAAGTTAAATGCGAAAGTTTTATCCGATATCCAGTTCCACGACGCTGCTGGAAAAAGGGATCTACGCACACCGTCACGTCGAGATTTGGATACCGTTGATAATTATAACGTTTATAATTTATGCCTATATCGTTCAGCGTAGTGAAAACGTTAGATGGAATATTTCGGAATTTTTATTCGTACGTATACACACATACACGTGCGCGTATACATATATATATATACACACATACAGGTGAACGCTGCACGATGCAAATTAATCGAATAGCTGGGAATTTTTTAATACAAATAACAAACATGGAAATTTATTATCGATCAGATTTACACAAGTCGTAACAAAATACTCTTTGACATCTCTTCATTATTCATTATTGAAGCCAACCGTAAATTTCGTTATGCAATTAATATGACAAATAATTTATACGGTAATTATGTTATTAGCAATTGATGTGCTGTTTACTAATTCACCAGATAGCTACCACTTAACGTTGTATTAAATATCGAGTGTACTAATAGCGACGTTAAATAGTTTGTTTTTTGTTTTTCTGTGATAGAATGGCGTCAAAGAAGACGAGGCAAAACCATTCTATACAGCACTTGCTAGAGCTGCCAAGCAACAGAGAGACAAAATTGCCGTTATATTCTGTGAAGGAGTCGATCCAAACGCCACTCATTCCAACCCCTCGACAGGTCCCGGTAACTGTGCTGCATCCCTCGCCGAAAAAGGTAAGTGAAGCATGAATAAGTCATCAAAAATCTTTTGTTGTCATTCAATTTTCAGGAACATAAAGATCAATTATCGTCTTCTTTCTTTTCGTTGCCGTTGCGTTAACAATTCTTTGAAGGACCGCGGTATTATTATTAAAATTGAACGTTAGTTAAAAATTCACTTACAATCCTGTTTCGATGAGACATAATTAAATATAAAATTAATTACGTCTATCATTTAAGTACTAAGAAGTAGCGGGTTATTTTCATAATCTTTCTGTCAACAGCATTTTCACGGTATAAACGTTCTTCTTTATGAAACCGGTGATTAAAATTCTACAAGTCATTTGTGCAGTAATTGTTTCGTAAAAGAATAAGTAACGAAGTTTCAAAGTTTAATGACAAAGACATGGATCTCGTCGTTTGAAGATACTTTTGAAATTTTTCTGATTGATCGTTTATATGATTGCCTGTTTAACATAAAGTTACTTCCCTACTAACTTTTTCAAACTATTTAATTAAAAGTGACATTTTTTGTGTAATTTCTCGAAATTTTGTCTTCCTTTTCGAGAAGTGTAAAGTTTAATAAAATCTGCTTTCTCATTTGCGAATATTATATTTGTTGAAATTAGATATTTAAAGTTAAAGCTAAATTATAATGAATGTAAGATATTTTACATTCGTCCTTTGTTGTCACACAACTAGATTATTTATAACGTTGAATCTGATCACAAGTAGAGCAGCGATTAAATGACTTTTGCTTGTAAAAAAATGGGATTGACAGGTAACGTAAAGTAGAACCATTGTAACCACACAAATTGCTGACGTTTTACTTTACCGCAGTGGTTCTTTTTTTATCGATCATTCGGCACTTTGTTATTACTCGTATAAATGTCTACGCAAGCTTAAATTCGTAGCAACGGAGTAGAAAATTTTTAACTTTATTTTCGCTGTAATTATTCAGATTTTCTTCAAACAATTCTGTTTCGGTATAAGAAATTTGATCTGTAATTCAATCCGTGACACGATATTGAGCGTTGAACATTTCGTTGCAAATATTATTTTAGTTTTTCATAATTAATATGATTGAATGGTGTTTGAAGATTATTTCTTTACAAATTTTATCTTACCAGACAAATAGGACTTTCGAATTTGTATGCAAAATGAAATTATTTTACATAACTCTAAATACGTAGGAGGATATCTGATTTGGTTGATCGAAAAAGTTTTTCTTGCAGCCGTATGATTACTCTTTTGTTTCTTTTTCGTTCCATTTTATCCGGCACAGAGTCATGAAGGAGGGATTCACGTAACTCGGTAGGGGAAGCTTCGGCTTCCCTGTAAAATAACGATTTTTAAAGTTTCTCGAGGAGTTTCAAACCTTTTCCCACCGAGATTCGTCGACGAAGTTTCTAAAGTTTGAACCGCGTAATTGGAGAGGAAAGGAATTTCCTCTAACCATATAAAATGGTTTGTACGTTCGATGCTTAAATCCGACGATGTGATAGATTGTTCTGTTAAAAGCTATTTGCGTTAATGTTGCAAAAATTTTTCTAGAGTAAGAGTAATATTTGTTTCGAATCAGTATCATTGTTGGATTCAAATAATTTTATTAGAACTATTCTTTGATTAGTTTTATTATTATAAAAGAATGTATCATGTAGGTTTATTTTTTAATATATGCAATTTTATTTGCACTAATGCATCTTGTGGGAAATGCAAGCTAGAATATTACCAATCAGTAGTAAAATGTCGTTTTAGTCAGACACTCGATCGATAATTAAATATTTCGCTATGTTGATAGAAATTTACGTGTTTTACGTGTTTTCTGTCTTAACTGAATAAACATGATGAGTGGAAGAAATTTTGTTCATAAAATATTACAAAAATTTTAAGAAAAGTTATTACCGACAGTATGGTTGGTACATTGTTATCAACGATGGCTCATGGGCAGGGGATGCTTACTTCATCAAGGGTTGGTTTCAGTAGATGCATCTTTGGGGATGTACCGACAAAGTCAAGGTCACATCTATCGGTAAGGTAGATTACCGAATGGCATACAAACTGTTATCGACAAATCGTAACTTCTTTCCAGAAGAGTTTAAAACCAAATGATAAGTTTTCAAAAATATCGATTAAAATTCTATTATGCATGAAAATTTTATATATTTTCATGTTTTTTTAAATTATCTAAAGATATTAATAATATGTCTGTCTGTTATAATATTATTATACTAATATATACTACTTTTCATACGAAATTTATGGTTGTTTTTTAATGCAACTTGCTGCAAATATTTTTGAAATAGGACAATGAAAAAATAATGAATTTTTAATCATTACGTCATTCAAATATTTTAACTTGTACTTTTTAAGTTTCTTAACATTAAACAAAATTATTAAAAGTTTTTTTTTAAATAGAAAAAAGATATATATTTTGTTGATAAAATAAAATGCAATTTTATACATATTGCGTTATTTAAATTTACTTTTAGTTTATTTAAATTTTCTGAATAATCTTTTATGGGAGTAAATGCACGTACTTCACGAGAAAATAATTTGCTATTGAAATGCTATGAATGGAACTATAGTCGGAGCGTCTTGAGCATACGCAAGATGGTGGGCGGAACTGAATTTATGATAATTGCATAAATCAGAGCTTTCCTCCACAATAATCATAATCTATTGAGATAGTTGTACGAAGTTAGCTATTTAGCCAACGGCGCGCATAACGGAAGGAGGCCAAGAGATTTCGCGAAACCGTGAATAAGATAAAGTCGATGCTATAAAATCGGATCGAAAGAGAAAGATTCCTTAGTTTTTTCTGACTTGAAAATAATTACGCTGTTACTTCGTAATAAGCAATATAAAGTTCTTAAGGTGAAACTTTATTTCATTTTTAAGTATTAAATTATTTAAGTCACGTTCAGTGATGAAACATCAAAGTGCTATTATTTGTAATAAAATGTACTTTAATTGCTATTATTTAACAAACTCGTCATAAAATAGCTGAACCGAATAAACTTCCAAAAATCAATAAAAATAGAGTGTTAGCTTGAGTCTGGAGGAGGCAACCATAGAGGGTGCCACTAGTATCGCTACCCTCCATGAAGGGTTAGTTTAGGTAAATTTTGTAAATTCTGAGTACAAATTTATCAAATTAATTATAATTATAGTCGTTCAATATAAATATTGAATTATATGAATAATATAATTTTTAACAAAATTTTATGTAAAGACTTGTTACTCAACAGAGTTTTTATTTCCATTTGCATTTTTATTCATAAACTTTTATATTTTCATATTGATAAAATTTCGATTCTACAAATATTTTTATCAAAAAATAGGCAAGAACTTTCACGATTAGTTTTTCTTAATATCCGAAGATGATTTATTTCCATATGATTTTATTTCAATAAAATTTCAATATGCAACATAGCACGAGTAAGTTTTCGTAAGGAAAGCGATTTTATACTTTTACAAAACCGTTTTAAAGTTACGTAAATCGAGTGTAATATATTCGAGCGATTATCATTAGTGTTAAAGCGCGATTCTGTATTTTCCATTCGACGGTGGGAAAAGTAACGGGTGACTGACATCTCGAAATCGCTGGTGATTTCTTTATTAACATCGTGAGACGTGAACCTTCGGGTAATTCGCTATACGCTGCTGGAATATTAATGGGGAAATCTGCCCCGACTGAAAGGTTGGGATCGTTATGGTTACGATTACGATTATGAGTAGTCATTCTTTTTAAAGGAGAATCGTTATACTCTGGGGGTAATATTCCCACAAGAATTTTTGTACTATCTTTATTTCAGTATACAAACTACTCAGTATTATTGATACTATAAATTAAAGCGATCTATAATTCTACCATTTAAAGAATAATTTTTAATCATTATACTGCAGATTTTTATGCATTTATGAAAAATTAGGAAAAAATGTAAAATATTTTACACATTTAGTGCATGAAACAATTTTCTACCTATAATCCGCTTTTTAAATGATACTTACAAAAATATGAATAATGAACTTGCATAAATATCTGCAGTCAATATCATTTGTCAATCTCTCTAAAATCCATCCATTCGAGATTTAACGCTTGTAATTAAAAAAAAAAAAAAAAAAAAGGAAAATCAACGCGAAGCGTTTCTATTTAGTCAAGGTGGCATTAGCGATCGTTTACTCTGGAGGAGAGCTGAAAAGATGAGGCACAGTACCCTTTAACTTTGTCGGGCTGTCATACTGATCGGGGTTGGAACGAACCCTCCAATTCTCTCGGTGGGAGTAGCCACACGGTTGAGTGAATTTTTATGAATGAATGCGCGAGGATACCTAGATCCAAGGCTTTGGAATGCGCACCCTGTTTTCACCCCTGTACCTATATTTACGTCAGTGACTCTCAATTTGAAGTTCTCGTAACCTATAAAATCTATACAAGGGAACGATGTTGCTGTTAAAACGCATCCCTTTGGGGTGAATAGGCTTAAAATAAATCGAATTGTTTTTTTGATCATTCGTTTCGTTTCTAGGTACCGATATTCTCCTTCGTTATTCAATTAATTTCACTAATTTTATTGCATTTAACCTACTGTTTTATTTAGAAAATTTACCATAATTAAATATACATATTACTTTCTTATTTAAGAAATTTACGATATATCTTATCATTCAGAATAATTAAAATTAAGATGTTAAATAATTAAACATCTTCTTCCATTTAAAATTAAAACATGAAAAAAAGGGTTACGTATACATTTCACACATGTGCACTTTTCTCGTTCGTCCCTCGCGTTTTATGTATAACAGATATTTTGAATACTGTTACTCGAGGGTTGAAGCGTACAGAATTCATCCAGCTCATAGTGATTCGAAATAAAGTCATACGTTATGGACGTATCATGGTCGTGGGTTAGCGCAAGCTTGTTCTTTGGGATTTGAACATTTTTGCGCGGGATGAAAATCATAATTGTGCACCAACATCGTCGCACTCTTTAGCTACAAAGGGACTTTTGCAGAAGGGTCTGAGGCTGAAAGTGTTAGCGGCAGTACAAAAGAAGACTTAACCCTCCGTAACCAGAGGGGAGTTTATAAAAATCGTGTCAATTAGGCCTCGAGAAAGAAAGGTAGGTCGAGGAAGGTGTTCCGTGTTGGACGAGGGCTTTAAAGCTCGTATTATGAAGAGATCGTTGACAAGCAATTTGCCTTTCGAGCGGCTCTTCAAAAAATTTTACACCTTCTTGTTATTGTACCAGGAATCTTCGAGTGTTTCGTTTAGCGAGTAATAACTTCTTATTAATTCGAAGCATCTTGATTAAGTTTTTACTCATTTTTATTACACTTTGAAGCATAAACATCGACGTTTTTGAAACTGAGCACTTGTCGAAGTTCTTGTAACCGAATTGTCCTTCTATCGAGATTAATGGAGAAAGAAGCAAAGAAATTTTATTCCGTTCAGATTTCTGTGTTCTCGTCTCAGGAATTGTTTAGAGCAAGGAGAAGAGTGGATCGGACCTAGGCACAGATCCAGGCGAGGATTAGTCCGTGGGGTATTGTAACGTCGTAAATACACCCCCTTTTTACCCCTTGAGCTTAAACTCACGGTACTTCTCTCGGTTCTCTCGTCGTTTGTCGGTCGGTAACACCAGCGTCCATT